AGTGTAGAGATCCGAAGACCCTTTATACTGGAAACGAGGCATTGCATGCATGACAGATGTGTTGATGCATTTTGATTCCTAACCAAAGATAAATGTAGGTGTCTATGTTCCACAGCTTTCACTTATCATCAGGTGGATTGTGAGCTAACTTGTCACCCTTATTCTATATAAAAACGATTAATCTCTATTTAATTTCTCTCATACGACATGAAGAAATGATACTTATAAAATACTTACAAATCTTTATTTAAATCAGTTAGAAAAAAAGAACTCTGTATTACTATAGTAGTTTCATGTTAATTGAATGTACATATTACTGAAAGCAACTGTGTAGTATAATTCTAATAGCGTATAGAGGAATTCGACGTTTGGGTTAGTTTCAGCTCTGGTCGGTTCTAAGCATCGTTGCTTAGAATGTTATAGTTATGTGAATCCATAGCGTTGAGTATGCAATATTATTATCCTTTGTCGGATGTACCTTTGTATGCTACTCAACACTATGCAGGTACACGGGGCTTATTACAATACTAATTTGATGAAGTTTGCCTGGAGTACTACTAGGCGTGTTACTACTATTAGGCATTGAATTATTTCCTGAAGAAATGAAGATACATCAATAATATTAATTCGGTATTTATTTCCTGTTACTGAGTTTTTAATTATATTTTGTTAATTTCTTAAAATCTATACAAATAAATAAAATTGAAGTGTCTGTTTGTAATGTCAAAATTACAGTTTTTTACTAAATGCATATGAAAGTAAATACGATACCTATAACTAAAATACAATTTTTAAAATTTTTGTCTGTCTGTCTGTCTGTCTGTCTGTCTGTTTGTTCCGGGTAATCTCCGAAACGGCTGGACCGATTTTGACGGGACTTTCACTGGCAGATAGCTGATTTCATAAGGAGTAACTTAGGCTACTTTTATTTAAGAAAAAGAATCAGGGTTCCGCGCAGAAACATAAAAACCCTAACACGCGAACGAAGTCGCGGGGAACAGCTAGTTTTGAATAAAACGAAGGGCATAAAAATTTACTGGCTATCAGTTGTCTCTCTATTACTCTTTTAATAATTTAAGAAAATTATTGTAATTCCATCTGATGGTGGACAATATTATTTTTGTTTGCAGATATGCCAAAATTGCAGACATGCCGTATGAAGCCATGTAATTCCCAAGAGGATATAACTTAAATAATAGCTTATATTCAAATCTTTCAGATTTTTCTTAACAGTTAGATTAAAATGTATAATCTTTTAAGACTATTTAAATTTATAACCTCTTGACATTCAATATCAAAGTAAAACGGTTCACATATCACGTCTTTTCATTCTTTCATGTCATATTATCCATCCATCCGTTGCAGCCTATAAAAGTCTACTACGGAAACCCCCCCCCCCCCCCCCCCGTCCACACTGAAGGGGTATGTCATATTATGTAACTTTTTAAAAGTGTCTACATAATATGTAATAATATACTGTGTTTAAATTTTAACATGTATCTATAAATCCCATAATTTGTTTCGTAATTACAATTTTAAGGTCTAGTAAACTGACTCTCACCTTGAACAACAGGGTAGTTTCGTCCCAGAATTCAATTATTATTTCTTACTTGTCCTGCCAATTTTTAAGGATCCTCAAAATTTTACATAACTTTTATAAAACTATAAGTTAAGTTTATTAATAGCACTTATTTCTTTCCCAAATCAGAATTTTGTGATAAAGTAACGAAAAGTTTAGTTGCAATTTCAGGGTATATAATTTCGGGACCTGCTGCCCCTTTTAGATATTTGGTATGTTGGAATATAATTTGCTATCTTAATGGCCAGTGATCATGTGGGTTTTTTTTTTATAGGATGAGGGTGAGAAACGAGCACACAGTCCACCTGATGGTAAGTGGTTGCTGCGGCCCATAGACATCTACATCTATCCTCTGTTACAAATCAAAATGTAGATGTGTTGTCACCAGTGAGGACTAAGATGGAATGCCTCATTTCCAGTAAAAAGGGCCTCCGGCCACCTGCACTCACCAAGCGAAACGCAGAGGTAAACCTCTACTTCACGCTGGTTTTCTGTGAGGTCGTGGTACTATCCCGGTTCGAGCCGGCCCATTCGTGCGACAGCAAAAGCTGCCGCGTGGCTCTACCACTGTTCTCTTATGTTGACAATTTTTGGACTTCTTTTTGACGAACCCCCTGCTATTTTCTGATATTTTTACATCTGTAATATTGTAACAACTTTTTCATTATGTTGTACTCATAATATTAGTCCCCTTTCAAATAAAATTTATACCATTATTTATTTTTATTCTAAATCCCAGTAAAGCACAATGTTTAACTTTCAAGTGATAGCGCTTAGTATGTCAATTCAAAATTTGTCTACCCTCTAAGTGATACCTCTAATAGTCTGTATATAGCATTTTATATAACTTATGCTAGATATTCTTTCAAACAGTTTTAAGTCCTCAGTAATTTGTTCCTGCATTCTGCACTGCATAATGGCTACCAGTAAATTATGTCACAAAATTTTGATGGCATTTCAGCCTGAGTAATTTTATTTCTTTTTTTATTATATATTCATGAATTCATATATATTTGAAGTAATAGTTCTAATGATCTATTTGCAGCATATCTATTTAACTCATGTTAGATATTTTTTCAGCAGTTTTAAACCCATAGTGATTGTTTTGTACCTTAGTATTGCATAATATCTTGTCCAACAAGATTGTGATAGTGTATTTTCCTTTTCCTATTTTCCCAATAATGTCCAAAATCACCTGCATATCTAAGGTGGGAACAATTATGCCCAATGACTATGATAAATGGCGACTGCCCAACTAAGTGCTCAAAAGACGAGTTGAACCCGAAAGTAAGAAAAACATATTAAATATATCACTTTAATTTCTCAACGTATCTCTATATATATCTAAACCTACATTTATTGGTTGGAAATAACTATTTATTATTTCATATTATACGAGTGACGAGGTTGTGTTATTAAAGCTTAATAGTGGATTTTCATTGATAATTAATCATACTTGTTATTAACGGTTTGCTCCATTTTGAATATCTTCTTTTTCCAAAGTATAACCCAATATTACCTCGCAGGCATGTAATAAATACATTTGTGGTAGGTTTTGGACATAAAACATTTAATATTACACTAAACATATTTTATATTCACAACAAAATTTATAAAAACACACCGTGACGGCTGGCACAAAAAACGTAATGGCATTGCATTTGACGGAAGGGTGGATATAGTGTTGTGCATACGTTTTGCCGTTCCAAAAAGTTTTTAGGAGCTTGAATAACTATGATGTACTGGTAAAATACGGCGTATTACAAGTTGTAAAGAATACAAAATATTTATAGCTATCATTAGCTACCGTGGCAATAAAATATTACTGGGATTTTCCGTAGTGATCTGCTACTACACCATTGGGACGAAATAAGGTGATAGATTATCTAACGGCACTAGACCGGAACAACTAGCCGGTGATTAATTTTTCGATCTGGATTATGGTTAGTATTATGTTGTTATTGTGATCAGCTATATTATGCAATTTCTTTAAGATCTTACATAATAAACAATCAGGATCAGGTTATCATCTTAATTAAGGATACAATATTAAGTATGAAATTAAATAATTTCAACAATATCTTCATCGTGTGTGAAAGTCAGAAATGTAAGCTCAGTTGTAAACACAAGCCGGGAATTTATTTAAAAAATCACTGTTACATTTTACAATCTAAATGTACATTAACTGTTGGGAACGATGTGTCAGTATAAGAGTAAGGGGTTGAATAATTTACGATTGCACTAACTTTACCCACGACGGGCCTCTTCGCTACAGATGGCCGAAGTACATATATCAAATCGGGCCGATGTTACAACTTCAATAAAACTTCAACGAAACTTATTCAAACGCGTCGGCCGGTGAAAGCTGTTTTTAACTTCTTTCCTCTCGGGATCAGGCAAATAAATAAAGAGTTAGTGAAGGTATTGAAGTTGATTTCTTCTGAAAATATTTTGTTGGGTACATTTTTAGAATGGTTGACGCCATTAAAAAATTTTAGGTATGGTATTAAACTATTCCAGAAATTGTTAACTATAATTTTATTGATAGCAGTAAGTATGTGAAGTATATAGCTACATTGTAACTAACAAAGCTAAAAGAAAACTGTATATTCCCTATACTTGGATATGCAGATCTCTTGCAATGAAGTTCTTGCAATCGACAAATGGATTTTTCAAGTTCATTTCTGCATAATTAAAGGCTTTTCCAAGAATGCGTCAGTAGGAAGTTTAGTCATACTCACTACGCTGGGTTGGTAAGGCATGAGCTTTTTTAAGTACAGCATATAAGTAATAATATGCCAAACCACAATTTAACAATTTAGACTTTGCACAAATAATTGTAATGGGTTTGATCCAATATAATCAGTACTATTAGTTTATCAATAAAATTAAAATATCGATTTGCATTATTAGAAATTAAGAGTGTGAGTGAAGTAAAATTACAGTCTTTTTCTTTCTTTTCAAGTCTCACACCTGGGCACCGTGTATCTCGTCTCACGTCACATAGGTTACCTCTTGTTATTGTCTAGTTGAAAGAGAAATATGTAATAGTTGTCACACTTGCCCGGCGGGCTGGGAACCGTAGTTTTTATTATTTTTAAGTGATTATCAGGAAGATGCTGCTGCTGCTTGCTTGATTCAGTTTCCCTCTTTTGCTTCTTGCGACACCCACGGGATGAAATAGTCGAACAGTCGAATTGAGTACCGTCTCCTTTTTTCAAATCGGCAGAAAATATAAAGCAGATTACTACAACTGATTATTACTTGCAAGGCCGTAACCAGTAAATAATTGGAGGGGGGGGGGGTGTTTTGGTGGAAAAGTAGAAAAACATAAAATCGTTTTTATAAAAAAAAATAAAATGGTGTTACTTATCATATTATATATTTATTAGAAAACCATTACAGAAATATTAACACCTTATTACATAATTAAATTTAGTCTTCTAGCTTTCTTTGCAGCGAACAAATCAATTACCTCCTCGGTTTCGATGTCAATTCTACGGTGGATTGACATTAACGCCAAACCGTTTAGTCTTTCCTGGCCTGTGGAGTTTCTCAAATGATTTTTGAGGCGTTTCAGAGAAGAGAAAGTCCTCTCAAGAGTACATGTAGAAGCAGGCAGTGTCTCCAAGATATTTAAAAGTTTGTGAATGTTTGGAAATAAGGCCTTGTTGCATTCTCTGAGAGCTTCAATAGCACATGTTGGTCGATCTAGTTCAGATTCTTCCACTCTTATATAAATATATTTCAATAATACACAATATTTGCATAAAGCACCTTGTTGCCCTGTACTCGTGTAAACCAACCACGAGAACCGTTCAAACCATTAAATTTGAAATTTTAGCTTTCTTTTGTCTTCAGGAATCATCATCAATTTTGGTGTTTGATCCCGTATAATAGCCCATATCTACAACATGCTGAGAAACATCATCTACAGTCCCAGGAACGGCACCAGAACTAATTGTAGCAGTATCACTGTCGAAAACACTTGAACACTGATTTTTAGTAGAACCTTCACTACCAATACTAGGTTTAGATTTTTTAAATAAATATTTGAATATTGTATTTTCTTGCGTCCTTTTTGCATTTGCAAATGTTGAACCGACCTGTAACAATTAGAAAAAAGGCCAAGTATTAATTCCATTTGTACACAAATATTTATTTCGATAAAGATGTATGCATTTAAAAGAAAATGAACACGAGTAGGTAGTCCACTCTCAGGCATCAAATCCTTTTAATTTTAATTACAAATTTATAACACCACTTACTTCAATACTAATTAACAACACTATTATTTCAAACACTGCACTATTACTTCGCTTATATCGCCTTAGTCGCATTGGATGACTTTCCAAGACAGAACTGCCTCTCCGTGAAAAGGACTATCCTCCGGGAAGCGGGGAAGGGAGGTGGTGAATGCTCTAAGCATACCACGACAGCCGGCTGCGTGGTTATGTGGGACTTACTGTGAAACCTAAGTGCCTACCCACTAAATACCACCTGGGACTGGCATTGGCCTATATGGCCTTTCTGCCGAATCGGAAGCGACCCCTTTTAGGGAAAAAGGGGCGCTGACGGTGAGCAGCCGCTGAGAGGTGCGCCTTAACTGAGGCAAATTAGGAATCGGGAGGGGATTCGGCCTGAGCCGCCAGGTGGCAGTCCAGTTCAGCCGAAAGCTTGTTTGGGGGGTCCGAGAGAGAGTGTCTTCGTCTTCGGACTTTACAGTACAATCGTTTTTACAGTAGAGGGCAGTGTCGTCAGCAACGCGGGAGAGCTGAACACCATTCGACGGGATGGAAATGTCGTTCGTGAACAGGATATATAGAAGTGGGGCAAGCACTGGGCCCTGAGGAACACCGGCTTTGATAGAACGTTGATAGGAGAGCGTGCCTTCGTGTCTAAAACGAAAGGTACGATCTTTCAAGGCTGATGCCACTAGACAAACAAGACAATTAAGGAGGCTTATTTTGTAGAGTTTGTAGATAAGGCCTTCGTACTAGACTCTATCAAACGCTTTTGCTATGTCGAAAAAGACCGCAATAGTCTTATGTAGACGAGGATAAAAACCGCTGAGGGTATATTCCACAATACGGTGAACTTGTTGGGGACAAGAGTGTTTCGCTCGGAAACTAAATTGGTGGGAGATGATAAGAGGGTCTCCGTCTGTGGGAAACAGATGGAGCCTCATGCGTGTGAGGATGACTCGTTCAAAGAATTTGCTCATGGCCTTGAGGAGGCTGATGGGACGGTGACTGGAGGGGAGGTGGTGAGGCTTTCCTGGCTTGGCAATGACAATTGTCTCTTTCCAGGAAAGTAACTAAGGTTGAAGCAGGCGTTGAAGGGTAATTATCTGCTCAGGAAAATGTTTTAGGACTTGGTTGGCCATCCGTGCCATCCGCGCCCGGGGCCTTTTTGGGTTTCAGCCCTTTCATGATGGATGAGATCTCATCATTGAACACAGTGATAGGGTCAGAGGCTGTGGGGAGTGAGTTCCACTGGCGGACCTCATCCTCCACTGTCTGGATGTGGGAGGGGTCAGTGGGTTGTGTGCGAGGAGAGTATTGAGTGGCGATGCCTTTTTCTCATCCTCGAAGGTAATAGTTCCGTCGGGATGGGAGAGAGGGAGAGTGTGAGTGATAGCGTCTATGCGGAGGACTCTCGCTATCTGATAATACGCTGTATGATAGGGAGAGATATGCTACATGAGATTACTCTTTTCGAGGTCTCCAATATCAGAAAGGCGTGATCGGACTTCTCGTTGAAGACGATTGGCCGTACGCCTATATTTAGGGGTGGTATAGAGTGCTCCTCTCCGGAAAGCAGCTGTCTTGGCTTTCCTTACGTTGCTAATATATAGGGGAAGGCTATTATTATTAGCAACCGGGACGACCCTTTCATTCTCCTTAAGGGAGGATTTTATAAGGGTGGTGAGAGAATCGACCGCGGTGTCGATTTTTTCGCTACTATCGAAGTCCGACGAAGGAGGATGGGGGAGTCCTGTGAGTTTATAGCTGTGGCTAAGAACTCCTTAAAGTTGCTGAAGGTTTTTGTAGAGGGGGTTGAGGGAGGTGAATGGTGGCCAAGAACGAGGGAGACAGGGCGGTGGTCGGATCCTAGATGGTCAAGAGAGATTGCCCTGAGGTTGAGAGAAACTCCTTTAACTAGCGCAAAGTCTGGTACGTCAAGAGCGTGGTCGGTGTTGTCGGTCATCGATTGACTGTGGGATGATTTTGATAGCCTCCCTGAGGTCGGTGGCTTGGTCGTATTTAATACCTGCGTCGTAGCAGGTTTTGGAGAGACGGGTAAATTGCGCCTTGTCTCTGAGAAAGACAGGGGCGGGACCTGTTATTTGGCGAAGTTGAGGCACAGCGAGGTGCTGGCTTGGAAGGCGGGGGATGTTTAACGACATTAGGGTGGCAATGGCAGCGGCGGGGGCTGCGGGGTGGGAGACGGCAACGGGAGCTGCGGCGGTAGAGGCAGCGGTGGGTGTTGCAGAGGTAAGGGTGACGGCAGGGGCTGCCGGGATGGGGGGGTGCGATTTTTCGCATCGCGTTTACGGCTACAGCTTGACTTCACTTTCGTGAATGAGGTGTCTTCGGTTACTGTTCCATCGGAATCCGTGGAGCAGCTACCGGATTAAATGTTGGATTGGTTGGTGGCGGACCTCTTCCGGGAGGACGACGTTACTGACGCGGAGACCGAGCACTCCATTCAGTCGGAGTCGTGAGACGCGGGCGAGTCGGTCTGCGGAGCAGCCATAGGGGCCTGCCGAGCAGGACGCGACGGGGGCCGGAGGAAGGAGGGGGGGCATGCCTGAAGGGCAAGGAAGTCGAGAATTGCGGCGAGAGCCGTCTCGTCCAGATTGATGCCCAGACCAAGAGATTGGTTTAGGGCGGTGATTAGGGACCTAAGTAGATTCAGTGTGGACATGTTGGGGGGGGGGGGTTCTAAACTTAGACAGTAAAGGGGAACAGTGTTCTGAAAAGAACAAGGGACGTTCCGTGAAATAGTAATACAAATACAACAAAATAACAAAAACAATAAGAGAACAAATAACAAAATAAACAGTAACAATAAGCGGTCAAACCTCCCCGCCAGCAGGCAGGGGGCCAAGTACGGTAAGAAAAAGGCAAGCAGACTCACCGACGGCGACAGCTCTGCGCAGCGTGAGCAGGAGAGCGAAAGCGCGAGAGCGAAACGGCACTCAGCGTACGGAGACGAGAACGCGGTCAACTAACACAACCGCTCGAGAGCGGCGGCACAAGCGGAATGTGTCTCTCCGTGTTTTTTTTTTTTTGCGCGCCGAAAGGGCTACCCTCCGGGAAGCGGGAAAGGGAGGTGGTGAATGCTTTAAGCATACCACGACAGCCGGCTGCGTAGTTATGTGGGACTCACTGCGAAACCTAAGTGCCTACCCACTAAACACCACCTGTGTGACTGGCATTGGCTTGTGTGGCCTTTCTGCCGAATCTGAAGTGACCCCCTTTAGGGAAAAGGGGGCGCAACTGTCTCTCCATGCTTAAGAGCTCGCTTATATATTCCGTAGACGCGGCGCGACGAAACATCGAGAAAAACCCGTCTCATTCTAAGCTTAGCCGAGCGAGCGCTAACCATCTGAGCCGTGGTAGCTCAGATGGTTAGCGCTCGCTGTAAGCTTCACAGTACTCGAGCAACCCGGGTTCGATCCCCGCCGGCACCAATAAAATTGTTAATTGCAATTTTAAGTGCTGATTTACGATCCTCGTGACCATGGCTGCTACAAAGCACCCGAACCGGTGGGAGTCAAATATAAGTTCATCATCATCATCATCATTACAACGCTTCACAAGTCCACTGCTGAACATAGGCCTCCCCAAAGAATGCCGCAAATATAAGTTAGCTTATTTAAAATTAAGTTAAATTAAACGCGATAAAATCGGTGAAAGTAGTTTTCTTTCTTAATTTAATAAATATTTTTTTCATTAATTGAAAAACCTCCAATAAACTAAATGTCGTTGAAAAAAATAATTACAAATTACGTCTTAAAGTCAGCACTCGAATATGTATATACACAACTTACTGAATAAATAAAGCCCACGAAACGACGAACAAAGTACAAAATACACAATGTTCTACTGCATGGTCCGTAGTTTGCTACGAGCCCCTTGAGACTAGTTGGCGTATCACAAACAGAGGGAAATAGTGAAACTGTTTCTAATTTTATTTTAATTTATAGCATGGACATTGTATGTTGATACAGAGTGTATTAAATTACAATGTGAATGTTTTGAATAGAAATGGTTATTTAGTAGCTAGATAAACATATAACACTTGTGTACACAATGTACGCCAAAAAAAATTATTAATATGAAGAAAAAAGGAGAAAAAATAAATGCGGTACAATGGGCGGTCTTATCGCTAAAAGCGATCTCTTCTAGACAACCTCTGGATGGACAGGATTGTAAGAAAAGAATAAAACATATGTGTGGTTTAAAAACAAAAATAACATTATTTTTATTACAAAATAATAATAATATAAGATATTATAAAATGGAATATAAGTACATAGATAACATAAATACATAAATACTTTTAAATCGTCTCATCCATCCTACTTGAGCCTGCGACAAGCGCGCGCTTTTACTTCCTTTCAGTTTATATATAACTCAATCACTCGCACATATGCTAGACTCCTTGGTCCGTGTTTCAAGACGGGTCTTCCGAGTGCCCGAAACTGAATCGTCGCCGACTGAGACGCGCACGGTTCGAGAC